GAGTTCAAACCACAACAATCAGTGAGAAGTAAAACAAATCAGAATGCTGTTAGAATGGTGGTAGTTAACAAAACTGCACAATATTCCTTTTAGTAGTTGACAAACTAAACTCTCTCCTGTGACTCTGGCTGCATACAGCACTCTTTTTCTTCTCTATTTATTTATTTTTTTATTTGTTCTACTTAGTTGTATATGACAGCAGAATGCATTTCAATTCATCCTACACAAATAGAGTGCAACAATTCAATTCTCTGATTGCACAGGGTCTAGAGATATACCATTCATGTAATCATACATGCACCTAGGTAACGATGTCCGTATCATTCCACCAGTTTCCCTGCTCTTATAACCCCTCCACACTCTCCCCTTTGCCCAAGTCAAAGTTCCTCCATCCCTCCCATCCCCCGCCTTCCATCATAGATCAGCATCCACTAATCAGAAAAAACATTTGGCCTTTAGTTTTTGGGATTTGCTTACTTCGCTTAGCATGATATTTTCCAACTCTATCCATTTATCTGCAAATTAATGCTGAGTAATATTCCATTGTATATATATACTACAGTTTCTTTATTCATTCATCTATTGAGGGGCATCTAGGCTGGTTCCACAGTTTAGCTATTGTGAGTTCAACTGCCATAAACATTGTGTACACTGCACTCTTACTACAGAGACTTCTTGCTGGGGTGAGCAAGCCCAGCTGAATTTGGAGGACAATATGTTTACATCCTACTGTGACCCACATATGTGCAGACTGGAAAAAATAATCCTTGAAAGAAGGAGCAAAGGAGTAATAGGATCACTGCATGGGTGGGGCCCAAGAATGAGGGAGGTGAAAACAAGGAAAAATATATGGCTAAATTGTTTATGCACATGTAGCCTAGGGACAATCAGGAACTGTCTAAGCAACATTCTCAATGCTTACTTTAGCTTTCTGGAGAGAAGGAGGCATGTTTCTGTCTTTAAAATACTTAAAAACAGGTTCAGTGATGGCAGGACAAAGGGGACATGCTTCTTTATATGACATCATCTCCCACTTCCATGTTCAGAAGGGTTTTTATACTCAAGGTCATTTTCAGAATGAAAGTGAGACTTTGTGGCAGGAATCTTAAAAACCTAAAGATGAATGAATTATATGGTTCATCAAGACCCATTGAAAGAGTGACTTTGTGGGAAGCAAGGGGTCATTTTTCTTTCCCACATTTTGTTACCATAATCAGTGATTATTATTGGCAGTGATTATTATTGCCTAAACACCCCACCTCTTCTTGTCACCAAGATTTTACAGATTGTCAATAGAATTTCGCAGGAGTTCTGCAGAGAGCGCATGCTCTGTGGGTGCATATGTGTGTACAGACAGAAAGAGGAAGACAGAAAAGGGTGATTAGAAATACAGAGATAAGGCCTGGGGTTGTGACTCAGTGGCAGAGTGTTTGCCTGGCATGCATGAGTCACTGGGTTCAATTCTCAGCACTGCATATAAATAAATAAAATAAAGGCCCATTGACAACTAAAAAATTATTAAAAAAAAAAAAGAAATACAGAGATAAGAGAAACTGTAAGAGGTAAACAGTCAGGTCCTCATCCCACCCTTCCACCCCCCATATTATAAAGAGCTTTATTGGGACACAATAAAGATATACTAGAAATTCAGGGGTCAAAGATGCTATAACGAACGACTGTTTTTAAATTTTTTTTTAAAGACAAGAATCTGGTAAAATCATCATTATCATCATCAGCAGGGACAGGTTTAAAATAAGCACATAAAAAGATTTGTTTTTTCACATTATGACCCCAGCTGACAGCATAATTTATTACTGATGTATACACCTTTTTTTGTGTGTGTGGTACTTGGGATTGAACCTGTGGTACTTTACCACTGAGTTATAACTCCAACCCCCTCCCTTTTTTCCCCTTTTGATACAGGGTCTCACTAAGTTGTCCAGACTGACCTCAAATATGTGATCCTCAGACTCCTGAGTTCCTGGGATTGCAGGTGTGCTCCACCCAGCTCTTATGTGAAAAATCTTTTTATTGGTTCTTTGATGATGTGTACAATATTTGTCTTAAAAATGCTGAAGAGGGAAAAAATCAAATGGATTGTGCTAATGTCTGTGTCCTTTAGATCACTAGGACCACTGATGAACAAAAAAAGCATTTTCTGAATTTCACCATCACTAACATACATAAACCAAAACAGCAGACAATTCATATTAAAGTCAGAAAAATTTCAGTCTGATTCTATGAATTTATAAAGTAGGATGAGTTGTGGAAGGCAAGGAAAATACATTCTTAAAAATGAATCTGGGCTTATTTCAAAGAATTGCATAAATGAATACCTAGATGATGTTTTAGAGCATTGTAGAGTATATGTAGGAAGGTACCTTAAATTTTCACAAAGCTTGAGGGCTGAGGATATAGCTCGGTTGGTAGAGTGCTTGCCTTACATGGACAAGGCCTTGGGTTCAATCCTCACTACATAAAAAACAAAACAAAACAACAACAACAAAAAAAAAAACCCATGAAGCTTGAGAGGTGAACCATAATAATAATAGTACTTCCAGAATATGGAAGATTGGTAATTGATATTAACTAAAATAATATATGCGTAATTATAGATTAAGATACCAGAATGCATAGAAATAGCATTACAACTGATAATCTCTTTATAAGTTGTTTTCTGTTTCTAGAAAGGTAGAAACATACATCTAGAAAGTATACAAGTGTTTAAGGGCAAGGTATTTTGGTGGACTCTCGTCATTATTTGGCTACTTGGCATTTGAAGCCCCTTAACCCCGTGTTAAGATAATCTCCTACATTTGAACCCAGGTGGTAGAGGCTGAACCAGCCCAATGCTTGCTTTCCCATGCTGTATAGTTAATGCACAGGTGTATGACCTAGATTCCACTATTAGATCCACCGGTACCAGATTTTTGACTTGTAAGCTAGTAATGAAAAACAGAACCAGTAGCAATAGCAAGTGGCATTTCCAATGCAAAAAGAATACCAACTCAGAAATGATGGAGCATCCTTTCCTTTCGGACAGCTCAACTTGTAGTGCTTGTTGGAATAAGTTCCAGGTGCAGAACCAGCAGCCATGCTGTGGTGGTGACAATTGTGAGATCTGTTTCTTTGCTGAGAACCATCCAATCTTTTAAAGCATCTTATCTAATTTAAAAAATGTGACGACTGCTCATTATCGGAAATATGTAGAATTTAGAAAAAGACAAGGTGTTTTCATGTGTACACACATATGTAGGGTTTATAAGATTGGGATCATACCATAGTTTTATTCTTGTAATGTGATTTTCTTTCTTTCTTTTTTTGGGGGTACTGGGGATTAAACTCAGGGGCACTTGGCCACTGAGACACATCCCCAGCCATATTTTGTATTTTATTTAGAGACAGGGTCTCACTGAGTTGCTTAAGGCCTCACTTTTTGCTGAGGCTGGCTTTGAACTCACCATTGTCTTGTCTCATCCTGGGATTACAGGTGTGTGCCACTGTGCCTGGCTTGTAATGTGATTTTCTGTTTTATTTTCAATGCCTTTCTTTGACAGGACAATTCTAAATAACAACATCATTTAACTGTTCTGCTGTTGAATGTTTAGATTTAATATTCTGTTGTCAGAAGGCTTCGAAGAACATTCTTATATGTAAAACATTGACTACATCTCTAATTATTGCTTTAGGGTAAATTCCTAGATGGCAGATCATTAACAGTAAAATGTGAACATTTTAAGGCTCTGTACCCATTTGTAAAATTGTTCTCCAGAGGTGGCTGACCCACTCTTGATTCCCTGGTGGGTTCTGAATATACAGCACTGAAAATGAACTTTTACAAAACTGGAATGTCAGACATGAAAATATTTTTTAAAATAATGAATGTGATACCTGCCATGAGTACACCACTTGCTCAACAAAGCTATGGATTTTAGAGGCATTATCATATTGAATCCTCACAATAGCACTATGTTTTGATACCCTAAGTCCCATAAAAAAAATTAAAGGGAAATGGCCAAACTTCCTGAGTTCCACAAATCATAAAATGTAGACTCAAACCTGGAAAAGCATTAGCTTTCTTATTTCAAAATTCACCTTTTCCCCTAATACCACTGTAACTCAAGAATGTAAATAGCTTTTGCGTTTTGAAATAAGTATTTGGAAGAAAAGAAGTATGAAGTGAGTTGAAAGTAGTAGCGTAGAGGTAGAGAAAGTGTTAAAAAAGCACAGCACATCTTAATTACCCTTGTTTACAAACTGACAAAACACGGGATGAGCACGGTGTTTTAACCAATGAGTATTTTATTAAAAGCCAGTGGTGCACCAGGCTCAGTTGTTGTCCAGTAGGCCGACAAATACAAATGATGCCACCAATTCACTTAGCTTATCTGATTAAACAAAATACATTTCATAGAAATGATTATAAAATGCATTGCTGATAGAAACAGAGTATATTTTATACTTCTAGATCTTGTACCCTAAATAATTATTAGTAAAAACCAGCCAACCCATATGGTAAATAAAGTTAGCAACCAGTTGTTTCTTTATTTTAGTCAACAGAGAAAGACAATTGTCTTGTTGAAATGGGTTTCTGCATTCATCACAGCCTTGCTGTTTCAAAGCTAACGTAGCTGACCTACAATATGAAAAATTAATTTTTTATTCTGTATTAAATAATTGTTAAACACTTTTGGTTTAAAGTTAGTTTTGGTTTCAGAATAAGTTTAATTTAGTATTTCTGTCTCCTGCCTCATGATTCACCATCTGTGGTGGGTGAGAATCACTCCAATTAAGTATTGGTTACAGGAACAAAGCAAAACATAAATGGGATATTTTAATCTACTTTGCTTGACATTCTTACCAAAACTGAATAAGAAGTTAAGATACACAGGTGATTTCAAGCAAAACACAACAGCAGAAGGGGGAAGGGAGTGGGAGGGGGACTGGTGTTATTTGAAGCAAGCCTGTCTAATATTTAGAGACATTTTTTGGAGACTCGGGTCATTCTTTAAAGGACTGTATTGAGTCCATTGGTGTTTGATGTATCCCTAGGTTTGAAGGTTGGCTAGGTGGGGTGTAAGAGCAAAAGGAGGGTGGGAAGGACTTAACAGGTGTGGGGTGGAGTGTTTACTGACACAATCACGGCAATCGCAGAACCCCAATTACCCCAGGGAGTGTCCACCAGGCCTTTCCTGAGACCTCCAGAGATGGGTCTGTTTTCTTCAGGCAGCGGCGGCAGCAGCAGAAGCAGCAGCAGCAGCAGCAAAAACTTCTTCAGAGACAAGGTCAACTTTTATTGCACAAGAAGCAGAACAAATCCCCTCCCCTTTCCTGAGCTGGAGACCTCCCAGTGCAAACAGGTCTGGATTCTCATCGGCTCGCACCTCTGGCCAGCAGGGGGCGCTTAACAAGCACGCCTGGGGAGCACCTTCTTGGCGGGGAAACGTGAGGTATTGTGTTGGCCCCAGCAATCTGGTGGGTCAGTCACTATTCTCAAGCAGCTTTTGTAAGTTGTTTTGTATCTTGAAATAAAAAAGAAACTTCTGTTAGTAAACAGAATGGAGTATCTTAAGGGGGTATTTGCCATGGCCTGTATAATACTTGAGATTCAATATTTTCTACCTTGAATAAAAAGGTACACATAGGTTAAAGTGAATAAGGCAAGCAAATGATTTTTCAAGGACTAGAATTCTGTTTGACAATCGAATCTAAAAATGAAAAAAAAACAAAAGACTAGAGGAAAAAAAAAAGAGTGGCACAAAAATGAAAATGTCAGTAGAGACTGAGAGAAATGAGGTAGAAGAAAAAGAACAAAGAACTGACAACATCCAGTGCCACCCAAATTCATTTAGAGACCATGGGAAATTGGCCTTTCCAGAACCCATTTGATTTTTTTTTGTACCAGGGATCGAACTCAGGAACACTCAACAACTGAGCCACATCACCAGCCCTATTTTGCATTTTATTTAAGACAGCGTCTCACTGAGTTGCTTAGTGCTTCACTGTTGCTGAGGCTGACTTTGAACTCGCGATCCTACTGTCTCTGCCTCCCAAGCCGCTGGGATTAAGGGAGTGTACCACCACACCTGGACCCTTTGGTGGTTTTAATTAGGCAAATGCCACATCATAATCATTAACACTCCCATTAGATATAATTTATGCACAACATTCCCAAGAAGACTGTAAATTTCACGGGGATAGGGATTGACCAAAGGATCGACCATGTCTTATGCTTGGACTTTAAGCATAAAAATGGGCATTAAATGTCTGTTGAATAAAAGAATTTTAAAGAATTCAGAGCAAGGAATTCTCAACAACCAATATGGTGATGGGAGTAAGGAACTCCATGCATCAAAGGAAAAAAAAAAAAAAAGAGAACATATTCTCCTATGATCTGGGTATTTGTCCCCTCTCACACTCATGTTGAAACTTAATCCCCAAAGTCATATATTTAGTATTTTGAGGCAGGACTTTATAGGAGGAGGAAGAGATACCCAAGTTAGTAAGCTTGTTGTCTCACCATGTGAACCCTTGTGCCACCTCAGGACTCCACAGAGTCCCTATCAGCGAGAAGGCTTTCACTAGATGTGGCCCCACAACCTTGGACCTACCTCCCTACCTCCTGAACCATAAGCTGAATAAGCCTTTATTCTTTATAAGTTGCCCAGTCTGTGATCTTCTGTTACAGCAAAAGAAAATGGACTAATAGACTAAGATATCTTTTGAAAAGGTCTGTGATGTCCTTCAGGCATACTTGGGCAAAAAAAAAAAGAAAAGGTCTCTAATGTGTATGTTCTAGGAACTGGATGTGTCGCTCACCTTAACCACCCAATACCACACACAGGCAGTTCTGTACATGAAATTGAGGACCAGAGGGGTTAAGGAACATGACCAGTTACACAAGCAGAAAGTGGCAGAGTAGTGATAAAAACAAAGGTCTGACTCTAAAATTTACACTCTTTCTACCATTAATGGCACTTCTAGTATCAAGAAAATAACTATGTGTTTCTTTGCTCATAAAAAAAAATTGCCTTTTCTCATATTCCTGCTTCTTAACTTCCCTGCCTCCCTTAGGACCAAGGATAAGTGGAAAAACAGGAGTAGGAAGATTAAAAAAAAAAAAAAAAGAAAGAAACAAAAGATAGATATCCAAAATAGTGAAGACACACTTACTAAGGGCGAAAACCAAACAAAAAAACTCCAAAACAAAAAACCAAATCCACAAAAATAAAACAAAAGAGGCAAACAATTTGTAGAAGAAAACCCAATGTCTGATAAATAGATGAGAGGGTCAACCTCAGCAGTAATTAGGAAAATACAAAGAAAATTCATAATGAGATTCATAGTATCAGACTGGTAAGCAGGGGCCTGAATGGGTCAGGATACGGCCAGTGGAAAGAGACTTTGAGGAGACATTTGAGGGTAAAGTTCATAGGGTTTGCCAACACATTAGTCAATCAGGGGCAGGCGAAAAGCAGAAGGAGGTAGACATTATTCTTAGACTTCTAATGAGGAAGACTGAAAAGAACAGTGATCCTATGAATGTCTGTTGAGGTATTAACCAGGGAAAGACCATGAGGCTTAGACATGACCCATCCTTGAAGGTGTGAAAAGGAATCACTGGTACTGTGTAAAAGGAGCAGCCACCTTTCACACTTTTCCATAGCATGGAGCTGCTATTTCACCCCAGGCTGTGCTGTGTAATTGTAATTGCCTCTGAGGAAGGGGGCAGACCCATCCAAAACCAGGGGGGTGGCCTGATAACTTTTTCATACTCAGATTCCCTTGAGCAATGCATGTAACTTATAGCTTTTCAGAATGTCAATTTGACCCACATCTCCTTTTTACTAATTCTGCTTTGGGACAAAGGTGGTCTCCACTGGTACTAATGGAGAGGTCTCCCTAGCTGGCTAGCTGAACTGGGTCTGAAGCCCTACCAGAGACCCAGCCAGCTGTAGACCTGCTAAGAACAAGTCTTCCTGTATTCTGTCCCATTTCTACAGAGTGTGGCATCCTGGCCAGGCCTGGCAGGAGAGTGAGAAGGAGAAAGCAGCAGGATTCTGTGTGCTTCCTATTCAGAGAATACCATTTGAATGTCAGAGTGAAAACTAATACCACCCCGTTCTCTAGGTCAGCATGAAAGGCAACATTAGTAAGCATTTCTTTATAAACAAAACCCAAACAACAGAATAAAAAAAATCATCTTCAATTCTCAGAACCTGATGTTTTAGAAAGGAAAAAAAAATTAGTATCTAACCCACATCTGGTCTAGTTGATTTGGGATTTAAAAGAAAATGTTTCTTAGTTTGGCCAGAGATATAATGACTCAATATGAATTATCTGGTTGAAACAGTGGTTTGGAAATTCCTTTGCTTTCAACCCTTGTTTCTTAAATGCTAGGTAACTTTGCTCATTTATATTTCATATTTCTTCCTAGAACTGCACTATTATGTAAAGCCACCAAATACTCAGAATTCATGATAGCAGTTCTAAGCAAACACTTGATTTTTCACTCTACACCTTTCCTTAAGGATTAAGATAAGAAAGAAAGAAAGAAAGAAAGAGAAAGAAAAGGAAAGGAAAAGAAAAGAAAAGAAAAGAAAAGGAAAGAAATGGGAAGGGACACAAATGCTGAAAGACCTGTTTATTAGGTTTAATTCTGGGATTTTTCTAGCATGTTGTTTCTCCTTGTTCACTCTCCCATAGTCTTCCAAGAATGCTACAAGCTAATGACAGATTTGCCCTGGGAAGATATTATTAAAGGTAGAGGTACATCAGTGGCCTCATCTACAAAGTCAAGGTCTGGATTCTGAGAAGCAATAAAGCCTAGGGCTGCTTGCTTGACTAATATATCAATTAACTGATATATGCCTCTGTTTGTCTTGTCCAAGAGATTGAATCCAGGGCTTCTTACATGCTGAACACATGCTATACCACTGAGCCCCATTCCCAGCCCCTAGGAGAGAAAGTTTCTAAGCACAACTTTGCAATCAGACCAGTTTCAAAATGTAGGTCCCCAGTCAACTTTCTAGTGTATCACCTTGAGCAAGGTAATAAAACTTGTTCCTTCTCTAATAGACAGTCACCTAATGCAATATTTTATGTATGGCAAGAATCAGCCTGGGTGGTGGTGGGACTGGTCAATTGTCTCAGTTGACTCCCTACCGTGCCCAGTGTCAGTGGTCACTTTTCATTGGGCCCTAAGGCACAGAGGAATATGTCTAATCAAGGAGAAAACAAAAGAAAGACCAAGGGAAACCATGTATTTAAAGGAAAATGAGATCAAAACCTGTTTCTTGGGGGCTGGGRTTGTGGCTCAGTGGTAGAGTGAATAATCTTGCATGTACGAGGCATTGGGTTCGATCCTCAGCACCACATAAAAATAAATAAATAAAATAAAGATTTGTGTCCATCTACAACTAAAAAAAAAAAAGTAAATATGGAAATAAAAAGTATTTTTCCACATTTACTTTGTAAACCCCCACCTCCCGCTCCCCTGCCAGGTTTGGTCATTTAGGTTTTCTGCAGACTGAGTTGTGTGAGTGTGTAAACCCTGGCCCATGGCAATTGATGGAAACTACCATGAAGAAAATGGGTCACCTTTTCTAACTTCACTATGTTAGCTGAAAGTTCTTGGCAGAGGACCTCCACATTTAATTGTACTTGTGATCCCAGGCTGGATGGTGCTATCTGTCTATAAAAACAAAGAGAAAAATTATTAGCAGGGAGGGCAAAGAAAGAAGTGGAATGAATCCATTTTCAATTTGAGTGGCAAACTAGGCTATAATAGGAGAGGGAGCATTTCACTTGTTAATATCAGAAAGGCCCTGCAGTAATCCCCACCTCCAGACTAGGTATTTAGGAAATTAATTCTCACAAGCTCAGCTGAAAATCTTTTAAGCTATTTTTGTTCAAGGGAATGAGTTGTGCCTTGGCTTCCTAACAAAAATCAGACCATTATTTTCAAGTACATGGTTTCTTAGACTCCTTTTATCAACTCCTGACATCCTTTCTTTCCTTACCACAGCATACATTTGTAAGGCTTATTGCTAACTCAGTAATACACAGATCTTTTTTTTCAAATGGGAAAAAGTTTAGAAATGTCTATCTCATTAATTAGATTTCCATTCAAGTCTGAGATTTTTTGGTTCCTTCCTTGAGACTTGTCATACCATCCATCATACCATACCACAGGTGTCCAATATTTACCATTTGACTATTTGGGGCGTGGCTCTTACTCTGGGGTCCTTTAGTTGTTAACACCATAGGAAATTTGGAGAAGTACAGAAAATATATTTTTCTCAGAGAGATGATCTAAAGCTGTTTATGAGATTTTCACAATCAGGTTAAGAACCATAAATCTATATCCACTCTACATTTCTTGGTTGTGATTTAATTGGCGCTGTTCAGTTTTTGGATGGTGGTGACTGGTCCAATTTATTTTACATAGGTGCTGTTTTTAAGATAGAGGGACTTGGTAAGTTAGGGACAACTATTTAAATCTTAAGAAAGATGTCTATATTCTTCATCCTTGACCCATGGAAACATGATCTCAATCCTTGATTTTTTTAGGTGAGGGATCTAAGACCTGGAAAAGTGACTTACCAACATGAGACTCTGAGTAGCAGGTGTTCTCATCCCTGGGCTAGGGATATGGGGATGAGCAGAGCCAGCACCACAGGCTGCTAACATGCTAACAAAGCTGGCAATATGCATGGATTCACAAGAATGGCTCTTCAGCAATGGAAGAGGAAAATTCACATGTGGATTCAGCTGCCCGGCAGCACAGGTGGATCCCTCTGGACAAAGGACCTGGGGCAGCTTGGGTCCTGGAACAGGGCTGTGTCAACAGACCTTCCCACCATGCTGTTCCCTGACCACATGTCACAAGCGATCTTTGTGATTTTCTTTTTCCTTTGGAGGGTATTTTTCAGGTTCTTATTTCCTCCTGGATTGATTATTTTGAAAGTAGAATGAATATTCAATTTGTTAATGGAATTCCCCACTGATTATCACCAAGTTTATTAAATGATAATAGGACATGAGATCTATTTTTCTAATTGAACCAACTTCTTCTTATGTAATAGTGAACTAATAGCCTATAATAATCTGGAGTCACTATGCCTCTAATGCTGTTAGCATTTGAACAGGTGAGAGAGTAAGGGCAGATTATGAATCTATTCCGAACGATTTATTAGGCTTCTATAATATATTGGTTCAAATGTAAACTGTGGCTCAAAAATAACCTGTAGACCAGCATATAGTAAGCCACAGAAGGTCTTTAGGTAACTCAAAGAGTAAAGAAGGCCCTAGAATGGTATACACAGCAATTCTCAAAGTGTTGATTCTAGACCAGCACTATCAGCATCAATTGGGAAGTGCCATCCCAGGCCTATTGCATGAAAAACTCTTGGATGGATCCTACAATCTGTTTGAACAAGCCCTGAAGATGATTTTGAGGCATCTTAAGGTTTAAGAGCCATTGATAGACTGGGAAGCCTATCTTTGTAGTTTTGTAGATCTGCATTTGAATCCTGATTTTACTATAAACAGTGAGACATTAAGTTAATTATTTCTTTTTATTTTATTCATTTATTTATATGGGGGGCTGAGAACTGAACCCAGTACCTCACACATGTTAGGCAAGTGCTCTACCACTGAGCCATAGCTCTAGCCCCCTAAGCTAATTATTTCTGAGCCCCAGTTTTCTCATCTGTAAAATGGAAATAACAACTCTCTCATCAGATTATGGTAAAAATATAATGAAGGTAATCTGTTTGTATTTGTATCTGTATATATCCATTCTAATAGAGACTCTTGCATATGGCAGGTAATTTGTTAAGGACTACCTCTACTTTTAAAACTCGAGATAAAAGTATGCTTTCTAACCTGAAAGAATGATTTTATTTTACTTGAGGAAAGAATACTATGTCTGAACAGATTTATTTGGTCAGACATGTCAAAAAGGAATGAATAAAAAATCTTCATAGACATAGTCAACTAATTACTAGTCGTACGATTCTATAGTTGTTGGGAGTTTTGTAAACAAATTGGTTAAAGATTTAGACATGATGAAATGTGCTGAGTTACTTGCATTGTTTCTCTTTTACAATGTCCTGACTCACTGCCATTTTATGAAGATAAACTTGTATAGGTTAATAAACAGGCCAAGGTCACAATCGCCTCTTGGAATCATAGAGCAAGACAATGTGAACTTAGGTGCGTTTCTTGCCACATTACCGGCAACAGTATAGTAACTCGAGAACAGTGCAGGGTTAGGTCATTCATTCCTAGGAACCTCCTACCTCTTGACTTTTTTATATCCTTAAAAGTTTCATACAGAATGCATTCTCAGTGAATGTTTGCTAAGGAGGATGCCAAGCTTGGGTCAATTATTATGCTAATCTGAACAGCCAGCAGAGGTCAGCTAGAAGAAGCGTCTTAGTCTTACTCGGTACTGTGGGTATCCACGAAGGACGTTAGTGACCCCAGTCGCTCCTCCAGAGTGTTAATTCTGTATCTCATGTAGAAGGTCGAGATGATTAGGGCACAGGCACTGGAAAGAGATAAAGAACAATTTCCAGCAGGTTAATGGCCAGGATCTGATATTCAAAAAACAATAAACCCAGAGCCAATTTGTATGCTGGAGCAAAGCATTTTCTAAAACAACTTGGCTAAAGAGGTGTTCAAAAGATCATTTTAAAAATAGGTCGATGCTTGGGGCTGGGGTTGTGGCTCAGTGGTACAGTGCCTGCCTAGCATGTGTGAGGCACTGCGTTCGATTCTCAGTATCACATATAAAATAAATAAAAATAAAGGTCCATTAACAACTAATAAAAACATTTAAAAAATAGGTTGATGCTTGTCATGGAACTTCATGGCCAGAAGGAGAGTTAAAAAGACTATAGCTCTAGTCCCTCAAATTGCAAATGATGGACATTCTAATAGGACTGTTCAAGGTCAGACCCAAGCTGGACCATCAAGCCAGTGTTCCTCCTCCCTCTACTGGAGGAGTCTGGGGAGAGAGTGCCTAGTCTGCTCCCCAGTGACTCACAAATCCCTTGCTTTATCTGGAAACCAGACTGGGCATGTTCTCTTTATTGTGAGGAACAGCTTAGAATTGGACCATGCTATTTTCAGAAGGACTGGTTACAGACTGGAAGCTGTTTAAAAAGTCAATGCCTGTGTTTTTAGGAGAGGGAAAAGACATTTTGAAGATGTCTTGTCCTTTCTTCAGAGGACAGGGAACAGATGGAAAAACAACAAGAAAAAGATACTTTGTAATTTATAGAACAATGTTCCAAGGAATGGTATCTATTCAGAACTTAGTTCTCTGCTGAATTTGGTACAATCATTATGAAAATGTGACCTATGCTTAAGAAACAAAACAATGTCAATGTAGGGGACAGAAATTGTCAGACAAAATATTTGGGTCCCCTTAGAGACAAATACAACAAAGATTTACAATGGCTCTTGGCAATGTGAAGAGGTTTTTCCTTGAGAGAATTGAATCATTTGCTTAAATCACTCAGAGTAAATACATTTACTTACACAATTGCATAAAATATAAGAATATGGTGGAGAGCCGGACATTTCTGGGACTTCACTTTATGCAAAATTCCAATGTTTTCTGACAGACCTGTTGGGTGGAAACCAGAAAAGCAACAATTTGACACCGTGGCATTCTTCCTTCATTAGGCAATGTCTCAGTGGGGAAAAGATCCTGGAGACAGGTGCTCATTCCCAGGGAAAAGACATCAGAGAAAAATATTAACTGAAGCCTTTTAGTTGTCACATTAACCAGTAGTTTCAATTGTTTCTAAAATGTTTCATCCAACACATGTTCACTGAGAGCCTTCTTTGGGTCAAGTATTGAGTCGGGATCAATGGAGAACAATAGAACACCATCCTTGCTCTCATGCCAGCATAACTGGTGACCAGTTGTTAGAAGATTAGTGAACAAGAACCAATTCAATGATTTGCATTTACCACCAATATTTGGATCATCATCTCAAAGTATTCAAAAGAATGAAGTGGTCTCCATGAAGACTAATTCAGCTTTGTCCCCCCCAGAGTACAACGCAGAACTGGGTACTGGTTGCTTAATGAACAAGAGAGAATTAAAATGCAAAGACCTACAATGAGAAGGAAGGGACTATGTAGTCATCAAGTAAGACAATGAGATATTTTAAAGGTTACAAACAGAAATCTCCTCCCCTTCAAACAAAATAAACAAACAACCCCTCTTCCCCAACTCTGCTTTTTACCATGTGCAGGGAGACTTTTGACTTTTCCTTCAGGAGTTCTGTTGACATGGGCATCTGCCCGAGTTGGTTTTGCTTCTCCCTTGGAGACGTTCAGAACTGTCTGGGATTCTGTCACATGGAAATCTACCAAGTCAAAGTGGAACTGGATTAGTTTTCTCCCCGATGCATTTAAAAACACAGGATCAACTATAAAGCAAAGCGCTCTTAATCTGTATAATGGCCAAGTACATAAATGGATCTTCTCATAAGTTGGGTGAAGTGGCTGGTGATGGAAATCCAATGCTCAAGCAAACAAGTAATAAAACAATATAAGCACAGCCTGTTGTCACCCCACCAATTTGCAAGGACAATTTGTCTATAGCAATTAATACTATCACTGAAATAAGAAGTATGAAAATACTACATGCTGATTTTCCTCCACCATGCTAATATTATGTCCATTTAAGAGACTTTTGTTAAATGCATAAAGGGAAATGGACTTTGACCACTTAGGCAATTCCTTCCCCTTAAACTTTCAAGATGCCCCCTTTCAGATTCCCTTTGCAACTGTTAACTAGGACGACAAGGTGGGCTTTTTTTTTTTTTTTTTTGTCTCTTTCTATGGGGAGAATGAGAGAGTTTAGTGGGGAATTCAATTTTAGTTCAGAAACAAAGATCTGCCAGACCTCGAGAGTTCTCAGACTCTGGAGTTTGAGAACCAGAACTGCTGTATCCTTCCATGTCTTGACTTCTCTGTCGAACCACTCCATCCACATCTGAGAATTCATCATTGAAATCCTGAGAGAGACAATGAAAGGAAGAGAGGCCAATTTTTCCTCATTAAACAGGCCGGCTTTTGTGACTTGTGGCCATCTCCATTAGGCCTGACCCATAAAATACGGAAAAGAAGGAAGGATTACCCCACACTACTGGGATTTTCCTAAGAGATCAGAGTATCTGGTTACTGAAACTGAGATTCTTCTGGGCAGTTAGCATTCTGTCCACAACAGTGGCTAACTTGTTTGAGACAAATGTCTAGAGAAAAAAAAAAAAAATGCTGGAATGCTAATGATTTGGAAGGCTTCCAGTGTAAAACTGAAGAATTCTCATTAGCACTTTGTAATGAGAAAAAACTGAGTGCTATAGACATACAGAAGAGAAAAGAGTGGATAGAAAGCTCTAAATCCAAGTTGGAATACATAGACAGAGAGGTATTACTAAATTATAGTTTTTTAAAAGATGTTAAAAACAGAAGGAAAAATGACTTTGAAAGTAAACCATAAAATGAAAGTTTCAGCTTTTTTTCTTCCCTCAACTAGATCAAAATAAGGTCAGTAATGTAAAATTTAAATTATAGGGAGATGATAGAGGAGCAAGGGAAAAGGCAGAGATGTTTCAGTTTGCATTCCTTGGACTCCTCCAAAGTACTTGGAACTACAGAGATAAGTGGGATCATTAAAATGTCCCAGCAGGAGTATAATTAGGCTGAGCTTTTAACATTTTAGTTAGCTGCCAGATGAAGAAGAGACTCCTCTTGCAAGCAAATCACCAACCTTTTGCCTTGAACTTGCCTCTTTTGGTCATCTCAAAATTCATTTGTATTTTACATAAGAATTTATAGGGGAACGAAAACTGAAAAAAATAAATCTCTTCAAGTTCATCATGATCTATTGAATGCCTATCGTGTTATCAGGCTGTATGCAAAGCTCCTCACATACATGATTGCATTTATTGCTCCTAACCACACGGTGATGTGGCCATTTTAGTGGATGAGAAGACTGAGCAGTGCCGGAGCTTGCCTGATGACATCACATGATGGGTGGAGCCCGGATCTGAAGCCAGGCTTGCTGGATTTCAAATCACATCTAATTGTGTTTTGCACTGCTTCCCATTACTTTTTGTAAAAGACAGATCCTTAAAAAATTGAGATAAAATTCACACAACATAATTTAAAATATGCAATTCAGTGGTTCTTAGAATATTCACGAGGTTGTGCAACCATCACCACTATCTTGTTCCAGAATAGTCCTCCCCAAAGAAAGCCCATACCCACCAGCAGTCACTACCAATTTCTCTCTCCTCCCACTCCCTGTTAACCACTGACTTAATTTCTGTGCCTATGGTCTGCCTGTTTGACACATTTCAGAGGCAGAGGGTCCCTGACTCACAAGTTTTTGACTTTGTGACAATGTGAAAGCAATTCACATTCAGTAGAAACTATATGTCAAATTTTGAATTTTGATCTTTCTCTAGCCTAGTAATATACTCAATAATAATCTCTTGTGAAGCTGGATCGTTGCAGAGAACAGAAGCTCTGGGTCAGCCAAGTGACCATAAGGGAAAACAATGGATACTTTGTGGTGTACTCCACTGGTAAGCCCTGACTTTCAATGAGCTAGGCATAGTGAATGAATTTTTGACTTATGATATTTTCAATTTACGATGGGTTTCTGGGGATGGAATCCCATCATAAGTTGAGGAACATCTGTAACTGTAATCATACAATACATGACCTTGTGTGTCTGACTTCTTTGATTGAGCATTATGTTTTCACTTGCCACCCATTTGGTTACACATATCAGCACTTCATTTCTTTGTTACGGCTGAATAATATTCTACTGTATGTATATACCACATTTAAAAAAATATATTAGTTAGCCGAAGGACATTAGGAGTTTCTCCCTACTTTTTGTCTGTCATGAATAATACTGCTATAAACACTCTTGTGATAGTTTTTATATAAACATTCTACTATTCCTTAAGAAAAAATTCTACTACTCCTTAAAAAAATTCTGTACAGGAAGATTTGTAGGAGGTATTGAAACTATGGAATCATACTGCTTCACTAAATGCAAATATATAAGAATAACAGATTTGGGAATAATTACTTGTACGACACTGTACTCTTTGGGGAAACATTATATTCCATTAGAGGTACAAACCTTGTACAAAAGAGAGTTATTTCCCACTGGAGATTTACCCTACAGTCAACAAATTCTAAAGGAACCAAAAAAATGTCTACCTGTTACTTAGGCATTATGGTTTTCTTTCAATCATTTCTGAGTTTGCCTCATTTTCTTTTCTAAGCTGTCAAGCCTATGAAGGCAAGAATTAGCTTTCTCTCCACATGTCTGAGGCAGGAAAACAAGGCTACTCAGCAAAAAGGGATGCCCACTCTCACCTCCTGATGGGAGAGAAGCCCTGAATTAATTTTGTTTTTTCCAGTTTTCTTATAATATATACTGGTATGGTGCTTTGAATATAGAATACATTTGTGGGCTGACTTATGCCCTGCTTCAAATAGATTTGCAAATCCCTTTAAAACCATGCTAATGGTATATATAGCTCAGTCATAGGGCACTTGCCCCCCTCCACCACCCCCGCAAAAAAAAAAAAAAAAGAAAAAGAAAAAAACAAACAAGCAAACAAAGCCAGTCCTTATGTATTTCTGTGGTGACCAGAAACTCACTAAGACAGCTTATTATCATGTTTCATTTGTTTTACAGAACTCTTCAATTACTAGAAAAAAGTTATGGTTTCCAGTGTGTCCCTCTTCTTCCAGAGAAAGAGAGATGTGTCTCGCTGCTTCAGCTCTGCCTCAAACTCTGAGGTCCTAAGCTCCTCCCACACCCTGGCCATGGTGTACCCACACAGTAATTAAGGAACACACTCCCTTTCTTTTGCATGAAGATAGTTATGTAGGCAACTTACCAGGGGCAGAGATGAAGGGCGGTCTGCTTGGAAAAAATTTTCACCAGAAGACTGAATGGGGCTGCTACCAACACTTACATTCTGAAATTATTGGAACAAAATGAAAATCCAGATCAATTATAAGCAACCAGAGGCAAGAGAGAAGAAAGGCAGCTATAGAAACTCAAGATGGTCACACTTACTTCCAAGTGCCCACACACAGATTTTAGCAGTTTGTAAGTTGAATCTCTGGAGAGCAAGGAGACAAATATGTACTGAAAAACAAAAGGGAATAAGTATTAACAGAGACTCCATTATGAGAAGCATGAGTTCAGAGTTCAAATAAGCAGCTGTATATATTTGTTTTCAAATGACACAAACCATCGTCCTTACCCAAACATTCAAATTTTACTTCATTTAAATAAATAATAAAGCAAGTATTACCTCCCCCATAGCAATAAGACTTCTAGACTCAATTTAAGAATAATAAAGAAATGTAGGGCTCCAAAATTCTGACATAGGTGCCCCCCAAAAGCTCAGAGAGCAAAGGGCATAGACATTAAGAAAAGACCAGTGGTATCTGCGAGATCCTCTTTAAAGTCTCTCCCACTTCAGTTTTGTTTTTGTGTTTAAAGGTATTCAACAATTCCCCTGAGTCCACTTTTTCTGCCCTGACCTAGATTTCCTCTGAAAACTTCCCAGCAACTCTAATAGGCCAGTTCTTTTTCACACCATTTCCAGATTCTTCCCTGTACAAATATGGAGATTTTTCTAGTGGTTGCTTATAAGTGAGTTATGGGAAAAGAGTAAAATCAGAGCCAGGCAAATAAGCTGGAGACAAATGACATAAGGAAAACTATTACCATAAATGGGATATTCACAAAATATAAAAACTCACTTTTTCTCCATCTATCTGAGCCACTGAATCTTTTCAGATCCCCTTTGTGATGATCCCTCTCTTTCATCAAGAAAACTCGATGTCATTTCCAAGTACGTATTTATTATATTCCAAAGTAGTTAACACTGTGGGTTCTGGCATTAGATTCCGTTGTGAATTTTGGCTTTGATATTTACCAAGTGGGTAATTTTGGGGAAAGCTGCTCAAGCATTCTTCCCTCATAGGTTGGTAGCGTGGAATAAATGAGAAAATACAAAGAAAGCATTTGATGTGATGAGGGATACTAATGCCAGTTAGCTGTTGGTATTTTTTAAAATCTYAAAATAGATATACTAACTTATTTTCTAGCTCATTAGAATTGCCTCTTTTTATCTTTCCATAAGCTATCTAGTATGGTGAGAAGTGGAATATAGCTATGTGTTTTCATAAATATAGTAGGTAAGAGATTAAAAAAGAATGTCAAGTAAAAAACAAGTACCTGAACTTCTCCATTTCCTCTCTCCYGTCAAGCTAAATAAATACCATTCTCTCTTTCCCTCCTCCACCYTCTCTCTTTGTGGTGATGGGATTGAACCCAGGGCTTCAGGCAAGCTCTCTATCACTGAGTGATCCCTAGCCCATGAATTATTACCACCTTGAATGGGAATATTTCTGGTTGCACATGTCTGGGATAGCCCAGGAATCAACAGTAGCTCTAGAATTTCTGGATAGAAGAGAGGTTGTCCAAGCACCTGGTAGCAAAAAAGGGTGGGAACTGATCCCAAAGCTATAACTGTGGAGCAGGTACAGGTTTCATGCATTTGGGATGACTCTGGGGAGGCCCCTAACTGGTTATGAGAAGGCTGGCCAACCCCCTCCTAGAGACTCCTCAGTGTCACCGGCCTCCCCTATCAGCAAGGCTACTGTCATTATTTTTTTTTTTAGTTATATTAAAGAAATTGAATATTTCAGTTTTGTCTGACTGAACAATTGTTAAGGAAAGGGAAGTTGGGAAAGAATTTAACTTTTTTGACCTTGGTCAAGCAAGTATAGTTAAGTCACTAGGAAATTCAAAATTGGGAACAATTACATTAGAATAAATCATTTTGTGGGGGGAAATCTAACATAATTTCCCTAGGCTATAATTTTTAGAATTAGTCTTATAGAAAATCTCCAGCTTCACTGTAGGAATGATGACATTTATGGTTTCAGGTCTCTGTCCTTGGCAAGAATCCTGGAAGGCAACAGAGCCCAGAGCAGGAGGATAAAGCAAAAGTGCTCACGCTCTGCAGGAGTACTCACCTTGTCTGTGACTGTTGCTATAATCAGGGCATTTGGCACCAGAAGAGCAGTTTTGGTTTTCTTTATTAGGGTTACTGAGAATGCCGGAATAGAGATCTGAAACAGATTCAGGAAGTTAGCACTGGTTTAGACTTCACACAACACCACTTCAAATCTACACATTTAAGCAAAAATGGGGAGAAAAGATAAACAAGGAAATCAACACCAGCATCAAGCTCCCTAGACTTCATGAAGAAAAGTGAATCTTCTCAGCAATTTAGTGAGACCCTCAGCAACTTAGTGAGACCTTGTCTCACTAAGTTAGTAAAGCATTCCTGGGTTCAGTCCCCCTGTACCAAAAGAAAAATAAAAGTGAATCTTACAAAGTAGTATGAGTCAGGCATGGTGGCACACACCTGTAATCCCAGTGGCTTGGGAGGCTGAGGCAGGAGGATCTTGAGTTCAAAGCCAGCCTCAGCAATGGTGAGGCACTAAGCAACTCAGTGAGACCCTGTATCTAAATAAAATACACAATAGAGCTGGGGATATGGCTCAGTGGTTCAGTGCTTTGAGTTCAATTCCTGGTAACCCCTCCCCTCAACCAAAAAAAGTATAGTATGGATGGTGCCACCTGAACTCTTCAAACTGGTGTTTATAAAGCCAGAGGACAAATCTGGACCAACAATTCTACTGAGAGTCTTACTGGGAAACTTTTATCTTTAGACATGGGGAATAGAATATAAAAATTACATTCATTTTCATTTATTAGAGCCCAAGAAGTTTCAAGATTGTGGTCACCCGCTTTGGGTTAACTTCCACATGCCCTCCTCCCCTCTGTACAGGGCATGTGTGGGTGGGGGCAAAATTCAAGAATGCCAGTGCAGTAGAGAAATCACTGCAGAGTCTGGGTTATTCAGTTCTGTTACTATCTGCATGACTCGCTCAGTCTTACAAACTTTCTACTCTGGGCCTGTTTCCTGATCCATGTATCGGAGATAGACTTGTCTATAGAATTTTCTATGACTTAAATGTGAAATATAATATGAAAATATATGGAAAAAGGCCAGTGTCAGATAAAAATTTCCATCCATTTCCTCATTTGTCTCATGAAATCAGGATTTTTTTATTAGAACCAAAAAATAAATTTATTAGAACCAAAAATTCCAAAAATAAACATACATTGGTGAAATATAAGTTCATCTCTGGTTCGAATAAAAATGACAAAACTGTAGAAGCTGTCATTATTAACACCTATTTAACAGATGGGAATGTCATTTAATTATGATAAGACTATAAAGTTGGTTATCTTACAAGATAATGAAATTTGTTTAGAGAGGTACATGACTTGCTTGAGGTCCTACATAGAGAAGGTTACAAAGGTGAAATCTGAACTGAATGGATCCGAAATGTGGGTTCTTTTCAATACATTGTGATATAAGAATGTACGAGATGGTGCAAAGAACACTAGGTTCTCCTGATATCTTGTTATATCCTTCCAACCACATTTGGTTTCAAAGAAGAATAGATCATATCACTTTGATCCCTGAATAATAGAGCCACACAGGAATGGTTAAAAGAAAATGATGTCACTCCCTCCATAGGTCTGTGTGCTCGCCTGAACATGTGTTTTGTTAAAATACTTCACTTACTCCAAAAGAGATCAACAAGATTGACAGGAAAGAGGAGGCCTTGCGTTAGTACTACCAGCCTGAGGAAGGAAAACGAACTTTTAATTTTGAATCTTTGCATTCACATTTGGGTTTATGAGATGCGCTGACTAATTGCGCTGCCAAGTTCCAGACAGGAAGACTAAGGAGGAATGAGGAACTAATCCAAATTAGGTATTTTCTCAAAGCTATTTTGCCAAAGAACTCTACCCACAAAAATTTTTAAGAATAGGAGGTAATTCTGCAGTTGTAAATTGGGATACCTTTGGGAAAACTGAATTTAAAGACCTATGAAGATTAATGATAATATCAAAATGAGTCCAATTGGTTTTTGAGCAGCAGTGCAAACACACAGTGACAAGGGACTATAAATTTAGATTTTTCTAAGGCACCGAACACCCTTAAGGAGTTTTCAATCATGAGTGCAAAATTACAACTCCACAGCATTTGTGAAATGAAGCTGAAATTACTTTTCAGTGAGACTAGATGGAACTTGATACGTGCATGCTAATTTTACTAGTGTCTGAAATAGAGACCGGCCGAGGACAAGGTTCTGATTAAATTAAGGTTAACTTTATTAATATTTTTCCACGGCAGGGTGCTTAGAAAGTTCCCCTTCCGAGAGCAAATTATTTGGGTGCCTTCAGTTCATAATGGAACATGCTGGACTTTTATTGACAGTGAGGAAATTCTGTAACCTCTCAGAAGCCCAGATCTCTTTTGATACTCTTCAGAGAGGAAGAAGCATATGAGTCACTATTATGGTTCTTATTCCCACCCCCTGCTAATTTTCAATCTTCTGCCTCTGTAAGTTAGACAGAGCATATGCAAAAACAATCTCCAAGAGTCTGCATCTTTAAACACCTAGGGTTTTACCTTCTTTTTATCATTTCTCTGTTAGGTAGAAGTACGGTTTTTAAAGCCATTGCAGAATAGTATTAGCTTGAAATTGCATTTACTACATTTATTCTTCCATCTCTTACTAAGGACTGTCTTGGTCCATGAATATCTTTAACCCTTGCTTCTCTGCTCAGAGATGTTGGCTCTCCCTGAACTTCTGAGAACTACCTTTACCACACTGATTGATACTACATAATCTCCTTCCCCAATCCATGAACGAGTTCTCATAATCCAGAAATCTAGACCGCATGGTGAGATACTGCTTAATATTGCTTTGTGTTATATTGATTCAGATAATACCTCAAAACAAAATTTGCTTATTTAAATGTGTCTCTACAAAATAAAGAAGGAAGGGGCTGGGGATGTGGCTCAAGTGGTAGTGTGCTCGCCTAGCATGTGTGAGGCACTGGGTTCAATTCTCAGCAGTACCACATAAAAAATAAAATAAAAGATATTATGTCCACCTGAAACTAAAAAATAAATATTAAAAAAATAAAGAATACAAAAAGAACATGTTTTACCTGAAGAGTAGTATGCTTGTCTATACCTAATGCCAAAAAAAGAAAGTTTCCATTGTATTTGTTGATGGTCTCTATACACGTGCCAGAGGCTTTCAGGAAGATATTTTTAAAGAAGCAAATCAACTCAAATAAAAATAAAAAAGTTTATCATCAGCCTACTTCCTGGGTATAGAGACTGCTTATTCATCATCATGAATCAGAGTGACTGAAAACTCACTGTCATGCAACCCAAGAAGGTGTTTTTCTTGACTTCTTACTCTGGTGACCTGAGTGAACTGTGATGTAACACCATGCTCAAGGCAAGGATGTCATCAGGAGGGGATTATCTCTTCTCTTCCTACACTGCGGGTTTAGAAGGCGGTGCCGTGGGCAAACTGCCAATTTCCTCAGGTTATTCTCATTTATGCTCAAGTGTCACGCACCTCTGCTCCCTGAATCTGTGTTTAAAGAGAATGAAAAGGCTCAGTATCAGAGAGTCCTTGGGGAAGTGGTTCTGAGCCTCCTCCAGAGGAGGCCTGAGTGCTGCCCTTGCTGCTGAGGATGTGCTTCATGTGCAGGTCTCCTCTTTGTTGGTCTGAACATGGTGTAAAGCTTAACATTTCTTACACAAAGGGTTTTGGTTTTAATGAATGCCTTTGAAAGAAATTGTATCACCTTCCCATATGAAACACTCTTGGAGTGTTTCTGGTGACATTTGGGCAAAGGGTATCTGGGGGAAAGGGACATTGTGCTTGCATAAGGAAACGAGTGAGCATGCTGAAGGGAGGACTCAATCCTTGACTCCATTTTCTCTCTCTCTGACCTGTTGGTCTCTGAGTTATTCTTCCCCTCAGTTATCTTAAATTCCAGGTCTGAGAGATAACATCTGATGATGGATATTGAAACTGCCCTTTCTGCCCCCAGCCATGATTTCGTTGGTGCTGACAAGACAAGACCAGCCCAGGACAAAGATCAACTCGACCAGGATCTGAGCAAGATCACAGCCACTGCCACCCCCTAGCCTCTCGCCTCTGCTCTTTCCTGGTAGAACCACAGTGCTCCTGTGGAGGCCCTGAAGACAGCACTCTGACCTGTCTTCCCAGTGCAACCACACTGAGAATATACTCCCCGATCGCTTTTGCTATTGTTTTTTTGGGGTAGCTGGGAGTGGGCCTGGTCTGCTGGGATTCCCCAGGGGCCAGGACTACAGTTAACAATGGTATTTAGGCAAAGAGGGAAGTTTACGTCATCTGGGGGCACTGAAAACCTGTAGTCTTTGAAACCATAGCAAAAGAAACTTGGTATAAAGGCATAATCATGATATATTTACAAACAGAGTTAAGCTAAAAACAATTTATATGTGCAATATATAAAAATGCAGGATTAGCTTTCTTTTCTAGAGATCATACCAACCTTAGTGTCCTTCCCAAAGACCTTGGAATGAAAACAAATCCAGTTTTCTGATACAAAGAGCTTTCCTTGGTATAGTATTTCTTTCTGTAGAGCGCAGGTAAAGCCTGGGAGAATACAGACAGGTATAAACAGCACCATTTAGGATCCCACTAAAATATTATTTTCATTATTCCCATTTAAAATAGAAGTTGTGTATCTATTCAAGAATGGGCAGAGATAATACACTCATACTCCAAAATTCTATCACCTCTTTCTCAGTCATCTTTAGTGGAATAAAAGCTGCGGTGATTGGATTTTATTTTTTAATTCAAAGTCTTACAGATTCTAGAATAAGAATCAAAATGGGACGCAAGTCAACCATCATACCCGAGAAACCGAGACTGGTGTTTCAGAAGCCTCCTGTTTAGGAAGGTGTGTCACCCGTGTGCCAACTGTGGCACGCCTGGTCCTCCCTTTCCAGGGATCCTCACTAATGACTCACTAAAGAAATAGCCGGCCACTTCAGGGAGAGCATGTGACTTTGCCCTCTGCCTGGAGATCATTGCAGGAATCTAGCACCTTGCCTTCAACACATGTACACCAAGAGAGGCTAGGTGTGAACCTTGGGGCCCAATGTGATGGGCCACACACATCATCAGCATTCTGGGAATCTGCATAGCACAGATATTAGCATATCTGTCTACTTTGACCTGTGTGTCCTTTTAACTTTCTTGTAGCCTCTCTTGACCCAGGTTTGTTATACTAAAAAAAAAAAAATCTCAGGATGATTCAATCAGCTGTATTTCAGCAATAAATACAAAAGGCAGGAAATCATTCTGGAACTATGCTGGATGAGTCCATAACTCATGAAGAGATTCAGCTTCTCATTCTACTCTCTTATCTTGCAAGGCACTAGGGGAAAGGTGACTGTGGCTGGCATTATTGCTCCTCCATGACCTGCTGCCTTCAGAAATCTATTCCCCTCACTGACTCGGTCCCCCAAATAAGTAGCAGCTTCTCACATATGTGGCTTAGAAGGTCAAACAGGTCCAAACTTACTTTGCCTCAGTGGTTCCTCAGTGGGGACATCAAGAAACAACTTGTGAAAGTGCATGTTCGCCTTGTACTGCAGAGAGAAAAACACAGGCTTCACTGCACAAATTCTAACTCCAATTTAGATTAAATAACACATTTTCCCTCCCTTAATGCTATCTTTAGGAATTTACCCTCTCTGATCTTATAAATCTCCAAACCCGCCCTTCAGTTGGGGCACAAAGGTTCATTCTAACAGGATTAATGCCTCACTGGGTGGACACCACATGCAGTAGGTGGTCAGCTGAAGTATCAGGCAGGACAAGGATGTTCCTGATAAGGAATGAGATGAACTCTAAGGAATCTCACTAGAGAAGGTACTGGCTACCAGGGCACTAAAGATACGAGTTCCTCAGAAGATCCCAAACGGTAGAGCTTTGTACTCAAATAAACCTGGACTACAGTCCGTGGTGTGGGATCATGGCCCAGTCAATTCACTTCCCTGGATCTTGGTTTTCTCTTCTGTGCCAGAGGCCAAAGCATCAGAGAGATGCCACCAGGCTTACAAGGGTAGCACACTGCCTGCTTTCTTTCTTTTCCTCCCTTCCTTCCCCACTTCCCCTCCTTCCCTCCCTCCCTCCCTTCCTCCTTCCTTCCTTCCTTCCTTCCTTCCTTCCTTCCTTCCTTCCTTCCTTCCTTTCCTAGGGGCGCTTAACCATTGAACCACATCCCCAGCCCATTTTTAATTTTTTATTTTGAGACAGAGTCTTGCTGAATTACTTAGAGCCTTGCTAAGTTGCTGAGGCTGGCTTTGAACTTGAGATCCTCCTGCCTCAGCCTCCTGAGCTGCTGAGATTACATGCCTGTGCCACTGTGCCCGGCTGACAAGTGGGATTTCACACAGAAGAATTATCTCTCCAGGGCAGTAGAAGGCCCAAGAGTTGGAAATGCTGCGCATTTCTTCATCTTTACCATGTGCAGCTTGCAACTTGCTTTCACAAACCTCATCCTCAAAATAACCCTAGGAACTCGGTGTCCCTATTCCAGGGCTTGGAACCTCTCCTCAGGAATACCGGGAGCTTTAAGCCATACCAAAAAAGTAGGCAGTGTGCTACCCTTTGAAGCCTGGTGGCATCTCTCTGAGCTAGGTCCTCCCTCTGCAGGATCACTCTGCTGCTTAGGATGCTTCTGAAGAAAAAGTCTGATTAGGAGAACTGAGAGAGACGGGCAAGTAGGCCCCTGATGATGTAGTCCCCAAACCAGGGGGGCTCAACGGCAGGACGGGACCTCTTGTTGCTGTACAGGAAAGCTGTAGACCAGGTCGTCACAATGACAGGTGGTCCCTGCAAGCCAGCTATTTTATAGATAGACACCTTCCATAAAGTACATTTCCTCGTGCTGCTTCTTAGAAGGGCACTTTGCACTGAGAAAGATACCCTGATGAAAGCTAGGTGTTTGATGGGAGCTTCAGTAGGATTTTGTGTTTCATGGCTACAGGGAGCACTGTTCACACACTTGATTTAAAACATCCTAGGCCATGGAGTCTTTAAAATCATCAGTGTAGAGGCAGGAGGATCTCCAGTTCAAAGCCAGCCTCAGCAATCTAGTGAGGCCCCCGAGCAACTCGGCAAGACCCTGTCTCTAAATAAAATACAAAAATGGGCTGGGAATGTGGCTCAGTGCTTAAGTGCCCCTGGGTTCAACCCCTGGCACCCCCCTCTACCCCAAGATGTCGGTGTAATGAAGAGCCAAAAAAAAAAAAAAGGTAGTGGAACAACACATATAGTACCTGACTCTTGATTGGATCTGGGTAGGGGAAAAAAAATCCCAAACACCTTTACTTTATAAAGGACATTCCTTACTAGGGCAGTTATGGAAATACAAACTGAATTTTTGGTACTTCATTAAATTTCATGGGTGTACTGTTTGTTTTAATTTTTAGGAAATACATATTTAAGCATTTGGGGTGATATGTCAAAAACCCCCTCTCAAGCCCCCAAAATGACAAGAAGACCGGCCTAGAAGTGGAGCTCAGGGGTGGAGCATTTTCTTAGTGTGTGGGAGGCCCTGAGATCAACTCCCCACACCCAAAACAACAACAAAAACACCAACCCCAAACTCCTGGTCCCAGTAAACACGTCACACTCAGTGACACAGAACTTTGTTACCCAGCGGGGTGTATCTGAGAGCAGAACTGAAATCACTTCTGCAAAAGGCCTTTCTTTCTCTGGTGCCTTTTCTGTAATTTTAATTGTGATGTCACATCGTCCCCTGTCCTGCCAACTATKAGACAAGCACTGTGTTAGTATGTGCTCTCTGGGTACTTGTCAGAGTCAGGGGACACAGCACAGCATCCGCTACCTCTCAGTATGTGTGGAAAGGTCAGGTGTGGGAATCTCATATTGATGAGACATTGACCAGAGGAAGAGCCACGGTCTGTCCTTCCAAACTCTCTGAACTCCTGTGCTTATGTCAGTCTTGCAGGAAGTTGCCTGCTCAGGTTATTTTATTTTATTTGTTGTTTTTGGATAYACATGATAGTAGAATGTATTTTGACATATTATACACACGTGGAGTATAAGTTATTCTAATTAGGATCCTATTCTTCTGGTTGTACATGACGTGGAGTTACCTGGTCATGTATTCAAATACAAAGATAGGAAAGTTATGTCCGATTAATTCTACTGCCCTTCCTATTTCCTCTTACCCCTCCTTTCCCCTCCCTCCSCTTTGTCTAATCCAATGGACTTCTTCTACTCTTCCCCTTCCCACCCTCCCTTGTTGTGGGTTGGCATCCACATATCAGAGAAAACATTCAACCTTTGTTTTTTGGGGACTGCCTTATTTCACTTAGCATGAAAGTCTCCAGTTCCATCCATTACTGGCAAATGTTAAAACTTCATTCTTCTTTATGGCTAAGTAATATTCCATTGTGTATATATACTACATTTTCTTTATCCATTCACGTGTTGAAGGACACCTGCGTTGGTTCTATAGCGTGGCTAYTGTGAATTGAGCTGCTACCATGCTCAGGTTCTTTCCCTCCCTGGGCCCTAATGGTTCTGTCATCCACTTACTCCATTCCCCTATTACCTGGCTGGAAGAGGAAGACTTTTTTCTTTCAGTCTTAGGGTCATTTTTGCTTTCTGTTTTACAGTCGTTCTTATCACCTACTAAAGAGGTACCATCATAATTGGATTTTGACCTGGGGAAATAAAATCCAGRAGATTATAAGATGAATTGTTTTATCCACTCATTATTTATTATAATAAATCTTGATTATTATACTCTGTCATKCGAAAACCTGATGTTTATTTGTCTCTTCTAGATATCAGCAATCATTCCTGATACTCTAGGGCATTTACACAGCACGAGTCTCAAGTGAGTGGGGGATTAGAGCAGGCTATCAGCACAAACTGCAAAAATGATAACTTATTTATAAAAGGAGAAATGACAGTTGTGACGTGAAAGTAACCACATCATTTCAAAAGTATTTTCGTCAGTATAAAGAAGAGTATTTGAAGAAAATTACCAAATAAAATTACAGCTATAATTCAATCAAAGAATAGTTCTGTCTCAGAACCCATTAATATTTAACAAGTATTAATTGAGGGAGGCATTGTGCTAAATGCCTTGGGCACACAAGGCAGTCTTTATGTTTGGGGAGCCTGTGTGCACATGCAGCAGACACGGCTTTAAAAAGGCAGGACTTGATTCAGCAAGACGGATCAGAGGAGTTGGGAGAAGGTACAGAGACAGTAGGTCAAACAAGAGGCAAGGGAAGAGGAGGTCAACAGAACAATGTGGGCTTAATGAGTGGGGCCTAACAGGATGAGCAAGAATTGGGTATGAGGAAAAGAGAAACAAAACATCTCAGATGGGGGAAAAGAGTAAAAGTGAAATCAGTTACAAAAAACCCCAAAACAATGTTTAGATCTGGGTCAAGTCTTCTTAGGTCCTGTCTTGTTAAGGGCAGAGGTCAGAGCCCCAGAACTTCTTTCTAAGGTGATTCTAGTTCTGGCTCTCCATTTTAGCAAATGTGGACTATGAACATACCTTCAATCCTACAGCTAAAAACAGTCATGTCCAAGTGGAAYGCATATATGATCTCCAGAGGTAATATATGCACAAGTCTTACGATTGCACAATTGCCTGCTTATTTATTGGGAGGAAATGATATACAAGAAATCCATGATTTTACATTATTATTCCTTTATATGAGGCCCTGTTCATATTTGGTTCAAAGTAGATTTAGGAAGAATATGAAATAATTTGGATGTCACCGAGGGGCAGAAATGACTGACATTAGACACGACACTAGGCTCTGATTTGCTTAGCTGTGAAAACACAGGCCATAGATGTCCTTCCAGCCCCAACAGTTCATGATCCCACTACGCGCACAGCACAGGTTAAGTGCTGCTGAGCAACTCAAGGTAAGTGGTTTGGTTTCAGCTACAGGCCATTGAACCTATTTATATGTATAAATTTCCGGGGAATTCTAGAGATCACATTTTGGAATCTGTGAGTAAATGTCTGTCCTCRAAAAGAAAATTATTCTTACAAATGTCAAACTACCAGTTATTCACACTCCTTTCTGATTTCAGTGTCATCACCTCTTCTGATTCAAATGAGTACCAACAGCATTGCCAAGGACAGGGCCAGGTCTTCTGAAGACCCACAGGCCGCCTGTAGGCAGGTATGACAAGGTGAGCAGGTGACTCTACCTTGGGTAATTTCAAGCCACAGGGGGCTGTCTGTGTAGGGGGTGGAAAGCTTCTTTACTCTGGGTTTTTTCAACTGTGCCATTCTCAATGAGCAAAGCCCCATGCAAAATTAAAGGGTGCAGCCCCTGCACAAAAATGATTAAGGATTTCCCGACAGTGCAAACAGAGCATTTGCCCCTGTGCCATAGCCCAGGCCATGAGGCCACACAGTCTCCAGCGTGTCCTTCCTGATGCAATGTGCTGTTCTCATCTGAAGCCTGGAGAAGTTGGAGTCAAACCAACAGTGTCTGCCAGGTGACTGTTGGAGCCAGGTGACACTGCTGAAAATTACATGAAACAATAACGTATTTGGTGCCCTTACGGAAAGACTCACTTGATGAGTGAGGCAGGATGTTTTTACAAAAAAAATATTGTAGAAGGGATGGAGAAAAGTGAGATGCCACAAGACAGGCATGCAGAAAAGATGGAGAAATAATTGGAAATCAGAGTCTGAAAAGAGAAATCTGGAGGCAGAGTTAAAACTTACGCTTGGTCCTGAATGAAGAATAGATTTGGAGAGAAGATATGGGCTGGGAGCCAGGAAAGAAGTAAAAAGAAGCAGTTAGTTAATTATCTGTTAGTAGGCGTCAAAAGAGGGAGAAGTTCTAATAATGGGCAGGGAGAGTGATTGCTATTCAGTAGAGATAAAAAAAACATTGGGGGCCAAAGATGTAACTCAGTGGTAGTGCACTTGCCTAGCATATGCAAGGGCCTGGGCTCAATCCATGTATTTCAAAAACCAAACCAAACAAACAAACAAACAAAAAAAATCAAGCAAATCACAACCAAAAAACCCAAACAAAAAAATTGCACATTTACCTTTCATTAAAGGGCTCAAAAACGACTTCAAGTCCCTTCTTGGTAGTTGGTGTCTCGGAGACTGATGGAAACCACAGCTATATACCTCAAAATACCCCTTCCCGGCTAACTTCCCTCACAGCCCAGTCACAGACACAGGTGGCCTGGTGGATCACTGGGATGGGTTTTCCTCTGTTCTTTTCCATGGCTCCCAGGAAAGTAAGAAGCCAGTCCCAGAGGCTGAGCAGATGCTGCAACTGGCCAGCCTTGCCAGGTGCTTCATAAATCTGTGCTTGGGGGCTGGGGCTGTGGCTCAGCGGTAGTGCACCTGCCTGGCACGTGTGAGGCATTGGGTTCGATTCTCAGCACCACATATAAATAAATAAATAAAATGGAGGCCCATCAACAGCTAAAACAAACAAACAAACAAATAGCTGACTGACTGAATCAATCAATCAATAAATCTGTGCTTGGGAGTGGGGCTTACTGGCTTCATCAGTCTGCAAAATCAGTGCTTTCAGAAAAGGCTACCCATACTTCAGAAGGCTGGGGCAGGAGGAGAAAAAGAGGCTGCTAGAAAGAGATGAGAGAGGAAGCCAAGTGCCTGTGCCTGGCTGTCAAGGAAACACACTCTGTTCTTTCCCGGAGGCCTTATTTGCCTACAGTTGGTCCACACTCTTCACACCAACCATAAAACTAGAAACCCCAGTGCTTCCCACAACCCCGAGAACAAAGAGTCAAGTGAGGACTCACCGCAGGCAGATGCTTTTCTTCTGGTCTGGGGACTCGGCCTCCACCGAGGGGGTAGGGGACTGGGCTGTTGGACTCCTGCTGGTTTTCCTTTTGTCCTCCACACCATTTTCAGCCTCTGAGCTGGAGAAGAAAGAGAAACGCTTCACCTTAGACATCCAGAGGGAAGTGGAAGGAAAAAAACGGTGGAGTAACCTGGAGTTCTGGAGAGYGAATGATCTTGAATCCCCACTGACAGGCTGGTCAACTTGGACAGCCGTGCACTTTCCCAATCTCCATTCTGACCCCTCTGGGCTGGAGCCTCGAGGGCAATAGTTGCAGATCACAGCTACTTCACTTGAAAAGGCCGACTGTGCAAGGACTGCTCAGCTCCCAGGGCTGTGCCTGTGGGCCCTGCACCACCCAGCTKTGCCCAGCCTAGGTGTGGGCCGGGCAGCAGATCACCTGGAGGATGGGAGGGCCCTGTGCGCAAGCGCTCTGGAACCCACAAGGGGTGGCTGCCTGCAGGTGCTGGGAACTCCCACCCACTCTGTTTGTACTTCTCTTATGTCACTTATCACCTTTTGTTGTAGTTATGAAGGTTCCACTTTGGGTTGTTGTTGTTTTAGCCAACCACTTCCCTAAGCAATTTACAGTCTTTAATCTTTACAACCACCCAGGCTGGACAGGATTGATTACCTTCATTTTACAGATGGGATATCTGAAGCTTTCATCAAATATGAACAAGTTTACAAAACTAGCATCTACCTTGGTTGAAATTCAAACTCAGTTCCGTTCACCTGTAAGGTATTTGTGTACACGTTCTTTCTTTCAGTCTCTCTCCCCACTCAATCATCCATCCCCCAACCACTTACTCGTCCATTTATCCTTCTTACTACCTCTTCAGCCTGAGAGCCCCATGGTGAAGTGGAAATCTGATTCATCTTTAYACAAACCCCAGGGTCAAGGATAGTGACAGTATGTAGTCATGGTCAAGTGGTTTTGGAAAAACTAGATCTAACCCTGGTAAAAGACAGAGTGGAAAGGAGTAGACAGGAAGGTGAGTCAAGAGAATTTGCACATTGAACCACTAACAAATGGACAATGACCATCATGGTGTACACCACTTGGGTACAATTTCCAATGTGGGAAGCAGGAGAAAAGGAATATTCCGTTTTTTTTTTTTTTTTTTTTTTTTGTGGTGTTGGGGATTGAACCCAGGGCCTTGTGCATGCAAGGCAAGCACTCTACCGACTGAGCTATATCCCCAAACCCAGTAAAGAAATATTGAGGGGAGAAAAGAAGGTGTTATTAAAGGATCATAACTTCTTTGATGCCAGCAACAAACAGTAAGACATACTTCTGAGGATGTAAAAACACTGTGGTAGTTGAGCATAAAGTAAGACATAGTAAAATGGCATTGCTATGACAGATTACTTCATTTTAACCCTAATTTACCACCTATTAGATATTTCCACCTGCATATGAACAAGTAGGCAGGAAATATTATTGGCTGGTTTAAGCTTTGCTGTTGCTTGCTTAGCCCTTGTCACGCATAGAAACATTGTAGTCTACACTAGGAGTCCTATCCTAGAGTCGAAATCAAGATCCAGTGTATCTGACAAAGATAATCAACCAAGTAATAATTCCTATGAACGACTGATGTTCTCATTCTGTAGTTAGCATTTCTTTTTTTTTTTCCCTAAGTAGACAAATATTGGAGAACAGAGATCCAACCTTTTGCTTCTTTGGTTCTTCCAGTACTTAAAGCACTCAAGTATATTAAAAAGGCTTAGTTCTTATCTGCACTGCATTATGTGACAAAGATTATATGGGAGACCTTGAACTCTTATTAGAAAACATTGATTTGGTTTAAAATAAAATAATTGAACTTTTAAATTTTAGTACTAATTTAACTTACGAACTTAGAGTTTTCAAATTGTGAATCGGCCTTGGAGCACACCTTTGCTTTTTCTATTTATCCCCTAAGACATACATATTACTCCTATTCTTTAGGGGCATCAGACAGAAATCCACTTGAGAAGTACTCTTTAGTTAGGGAGACCAATTGTGTGTGGAACTTCAACAATCCATCTCAGCATTCATTTAAATATTTACTCAATTTTATGCAGGGGACAGAACAAGATTTGGAGGCAGAGCCTTCGCTGTTCTGTATAGCCCTTTTGTATAGAAAGAGCCATTCCTGCTAAGAGCCACTCCGAAAAAGGTGTCCCTCTCTCAAAGCCACATCCCTGATACATAGACTGGCAGAGAGAAAGCTGCTCCTCTTACATCCAGCACCAAGATGTAAAGAAAGCCCAGCTCCCTCTGGCTTTGAGCCCCTCCTTGACCTTGCCCTACCTGGTCAGGCACTTCAGTACTGAGTGTCACGTGGTGGTTCTGATTCAGGGATTTTAGCTTAGCTCTGGTCAGATTATAACATCTGTGCATCCCATCTGAACAATGTCTTGCAATACAAAACACACAGGCATGTTCAAGTCAAAAGAGGCTATTTCCAGATACCCTCCACCTGGCTCTTCCTTAAACTTGTGCTTGTCTTCAGTGCAGGTTCTGTGCTTGAGGGCCCTACCAGGAGGACATTCTTCTCAAAGCCTCCCTGTAACTCACCTTGCCCCTAAACAATGAATGCCTTAAAATCTGTTAGCTTTTCACCCACATGTCTTTGTTATCCAATGACTACACCAAATTCCTTGCAGGCAGGGAACTTCTGTTTTTTGTTTTTGTTTTTTTTTCCCATAACAGTTCTGCATTTTGCTCACAGTGGTCACCACATGTTGATTGATGTGGGATTAATTACATATTGTCTCAAAGAGAAAGTGAGTTTCATCTATGGGTAAATTCCATGTTAGTTTAGTTTTTTTTTTTTTTTTTTAAGATGCTTTAGACTCAAACAAGCTAATTCCTAACAGCTGAGATTTTTTTTCCCCTGCCCCTTACCTTGGAGGTTTTGTCAAACCTAGACTGAAGTTATTATAGAATCCAAACAGTAGGGACGTGCCTGCGTCTGAGAAGCAGAGTGTGGGAGGGGAAATGGAATGCTTCCTCAAGGACTCTCCGTAACTTTAAAGTTACTCTCCATGAAGCTGAACATTTTTATTTAAATCATGAAAATAAGCAAATCAGGGTTTTAAAGAATATTTTTAGTTGTAGATGGACACAATAACTTTATTTTTTTATGTGGTGCCCAGAATCGAATCCAGTGCCTCACACATGCTAGGCAAGCGCTCCACAACTAAGCCACAACCCCAGGCTGTATTTTATTTTATTTTTTACCCAAAAAACAAAGCCTTTTAAGCTCCCTTAATCTCCAACTGAGAGACTCAACTAGAAAACAATAAACAACAACAAAAAAAAAACTAATTTTTTTTCTTTCAACAAATATTTATTGAAATGGTCCCTGCTGGTAAGATGCTTGGAGCTTCAGGAGGATAAGTGAGTTGACAGTTCTAAGCACCCATAGGAACAGCAGAAGATGGTGGAAACCATCACTTGGTGCTGGCAGGTTAGTTCTTCTCCCATCTCCATTCCAGTTTATGCATCAGCTATGGGTCCTGAAAGCTCTTCAGCAGGAATTTCAGAGCAGTGAGACAGTCATGATTACACCCACCAAGCCCAACTTCACCTCCTAGGGGAAAGAATTTTTATTCAGCTAGGACAAGCTGGATTCAATAAAATGGTTACACAATCTAAAAATAAAAACCAGGTTGGACTATCCTTATCAATGGCCCCATATTGGTCACTGCCCAGACTTCAGTAGTCTGATGATGACATAAATTCAGATGTCACAATTTTTCAGAACTAGAAGTTTTACATAGAGTTAACTATCATTCCTCCTGGTGATAGTCTCTGTGAGTTTAAGGTAAACTCGACCCTCTTTTCTCTTGTCACCTCAGTTTTCCCGGCCCTTTGCCCTTCCTGCTGAGAATGTATTGCACTCGGGTATCCTCACATGCAAGGCCAGGTAAATAAGGAGCCACCTGGCAGAAGCTATATTAAGCTGCAGCTCAGGTGAATAAAAACAAGTGTCTCACTGTGGTTTAGTGTTCCTTTCTAATTACAGCAGTAATTCCTGTGTTTGAGTCTACCTTCATGTTAAATTAGTGTTCGCAAAGGCATAAAAAAAAAAAATCCCACTAGATTCCTTATGCTAGTACAGGTGGGGGTAGTTTTACATCCACTATCATTAAAAAACAAACAAAAAAACCAACCACCCTCTGGTCATCATTTTTCAAATGACAGTTGTTACCAACAAAGAGGATCCCCACAGGATACATTTCTGGACATGGCCAGGGAAAGCAGAGTGTCGCGTGTTGTACTGAAAGCTCAGCTAGGACTGACTCACTAAGACTTGGGGACTCCTCATAGATCCTTCCTTGTTTCTGGTGTGTGCCTGCCTGTGGCTTCATAGCTGAAGCAAAGAATGCAATACTTGGGAAGCAACTAGTTAACCAGCAGAGACAGAGGAAGTTCCTGGGAACTGCTGGGCAGCAGCTATAGCACAAACACAGACAGACATCTAGGAACCAAAAGAAGGAAGTAGCGTGGGGTGCAGAGGTGCCAAAGCAGGTAGAAGCTGAGCCGAGGACAGCTGGGTGACTCTTCAGCTTTTCTAATTTGGTAAACTTAGAATCTACCAAGAGAGATTTTTAGGTCAAAATGGCCTTTCATTGGTAACTCTAATATGGTAATATCTTTGTCTAGACACTTTAAATTAATTTATCTATCTACATATTTATTTCTGAATAGGTACCATAAGCACCAGTGCAAAATCTGAAAATTACAAATAAGGAAACAAATTTCCCTTCTACCCCCGTTTAGTGGTGGCCTGGTTTCTTTCTGCAAATGTACCTACTGTTCCTAGAAACTTGTGTTTTCTTCCTGGGACATCTGGGCATATGTGTGTGTGTGTCTGTTTTAAGTATAAATGACAGCTTTAGTATTCCACACCTTGTTTTGTTTTACTTACTGTATTTCAGTGTTCTTTTCCTTATCAGTATACAATAGATCTTCCTCATTCTTTTTAATGACTGCATAAGAGTTCCATTTTAATGAATGAACAATATTCAACCAGTTCCTTATCGATGGGCATTTAGGTGGATTTTAGTCTTTTGCAAATACAAAGA